AAGGTGATTTCCCAAGTCAGTGGCATCCTGTTCAACAATGAGATGGACGACTTCAGCTCTCCCAACATCACCAACCAGTTCGGGGTGTCCCCTTCGCCGGCCAATTTCATTGAGCCAGGTGCAGGGTGGGGAGTCCGGGCCAGGTGATTTGTGTCGGGAGGGAGCTGGCTTCCCGAGCAGGCAGCTGACCGGCTTCTCTGTCCCCTCCCTGGCCCACAGGGAAGCAGCCACTCTCGTCCATGTGTCCGTCGATCATTGTGGGCAAGGACGGCAAGGTCCAGATGGTGGTGGGAGCCTCTGGCGGCACGCAGATCACCACAGCTACTGCGCTGGTATGTGCCGTCCCCTTCCCCCACCCCGTCCCCGAGCCAAGCTGGCCCCTCACCACCTCCTCCCACTCCCAGACCATCATCCATAACCTCTGGTTTGGCTACGATGTGGAGCGGGCTGTGGAGGAACCCCGGCTGCACAATCAGCTGCTGCCTAATGTCACAACCCTGGAGAAAGACGTTGACGAGGTGAGCCGGCCGCTGGGGGAACCGAGTCACAGCGAGGGACCCGAGGGTTTCCCGGGCTGCAGGCCTGTATGTTCCGAGTCATCACGGAGTGGACAACGGCTGTCATCCTCTCCCTGGGTGCCGTGGTCCTAAGTCTGCTGCCGGGTCATCCTGAGCCCTCGTGCAGGGAGGGCCAAGCCACCTGCTCCAGGGGGCCTCCCGGGCCGGCTGCCCCAGCCTGCCCTTCCCGGTCCCTTGGTGCGAAAGGGCACCGTTGGGCTCATTGAGGTTTGTGACCACACCGGATGGTTTAGGCCATCTCGGGGCCCCCTGAGCCGCTGTTGTCTCACCCCTAGGCAGTGGCTGCAGGCTTGAAGACCCGGCACCACGAAACCGAGGTCACCCCCACCTTCATCGCTGTGGTCCAGGCTATCGTTCGAACAGCCAGCGGCTGGGCAGCGGCCTCGGACTCCAGGAAAGGCGGGGAGCCGGCCGGCTACTGAGTGCCCACTCCGGATAAACCAAGACTGGCCAGCAACCCAGGGACAAGATACCAGGCGCTAGAGTGGGGCTCCGGGGACGGGCTCTCGCGATGCGTGGCAGAGCAGCATAATAAATGGGGCCACCGTGCCACACTCTGGGCAGCCTACAGGCCAGGTTCTCTCCTCCCTGGCCGTCAGTGTCCTGTATGTGAAACAGCCGTCTGACTGGGAGAGAATGGAGGGGCGATCGGAGGTCTTCACATCCAGATATTGGAGCAAGCCTTAGCTTTTTCAGTATGGGGACAGCCTGGTGGGTTAGTGAAGGCACAGGTCCATGCCCAGCGCTGTGCCTTCCTCACCCGGGCCAAGACCAGGCAAATACACTTCCTAGTATCAGCCACAAGGGGGAGCCCCGGCCTTGACAGAGGACAGCCGGCCGCTGATAGCAAGCCGGGTACTTCCTCAGACCCTGGAGCGTGGGTCTCACCCAGCCCAGGACAGGAGGAGGTGAAACTGAGGGCTGGGCAGGAGGCTGAAAGAAAACATCTTTTTTAGAGCCATGCCTGGTTTCACTTTCCAAGCGCAGGCCCAGAGTCAAGCCTAAGCATGTGATCAGCTCCAGGATGCCTGCAGGGAACAGTGAGCTGGAAGAGATCCACAGTTCCCAAGGGGAAGGCAGCTGGGCAGCCATGGGTCCGGGAGGCAGTAGCCAGGCAGAGCACCCTGAACCTGGGCCGACCCTTCCAGACCTGTCCCGGGGCCGTTTAATTCACAGCGCACACGCAGTATACGCAGGGTGTAACCCCAGTGGGGAGGAGCTTCTGGAGGAGGGCCGAGGAGGCAGGGGTCGCAGCACAACAGCCAAATTTCAGCCCTGACCTGTGAGCGCCAGTAGGGGGACCCTGAGGTAGGGAAGGGGCTGGAGAAGGCTGGAAAACGGTGCTTCAAAGGTGCACCAGGGCAAATGGAGTTTTGTGCTGCAGGGTGCCTAGCCCTGAGGACTCTGTCTCTGGGTCCCCAGGAAAGCAATGAAGGCCGGGTGGGGTGGCAGCCCCTCCTCAATCCTCATACTGCTGTGACGGGAGTGGCTCGATTTGCAGGGAAGAAGACTGAGGCCTGAGGGGTGGGCTCAAGATTACACAATGGGGAGGAAAGTGGGGCTGCCTGTGAGGCTCCCTAGACCCCCCCAAGCTGGCTGATGAGTGGGGGGGGCGCTCACGCGCCTGTGTGTGTGCGCGCGAGCATAGGGCTACCTCACCGGCGGGAAGACTCACTCCCTTTTTCCCATCATCCTCACTTTCGCAAGGATATTCAGGGCCCCTCCCAGTCGGGCCTCCCCAGTGAGCGAGTCTCCGGCCAGGCCCAGGACCCCAATCCTCTCCCTCGGCCCTTCACACGGTCTGTCTCTACACCCTGGCCTCAGCCTGACCAGGATGGCTGGTGAGAGGAGAGAGAGAAGATGTCCTAGCCCTTGACCCTGCTGTCCTGTTTGTCCCCCTGCCCTGGCCTCCGAGTTCTGAGGGCTTCGGTGGGTTGGTGGCCCGGCCCCCACTCAGGAATGCACTATGGCTTGTGGTTGAGCAATTTGGGGCAGCGTGGGCATTGGCAGCGTGGGCATTGGCTGGGGACTGGGGACTGGAAGAGTCGCCTGCAGCCCCTCCCTCCTGGAGACAGCGTGGGAACTGGCCAATGGGGAGCGACCTCTCCGGGACAGGCCGAGGGGCTCTGCACACACAGGCCTGGCAGGCCGTGCAGCCTGTGAGACAGCAATCCCTCTCTGGGCTGCATTCCCCAGCTATACCAGGAGATGGGCTCTGTGTGTGGAGACCCAGGACTGGTGGGGCTCAGGTAGAAAGGACACGGGGAGGAGGTATGGGCTGGAGGGATCTGTGCAGGCCCCGCGTCCTGCACCCATGTTAAACTGGATTGAGGGAGACCCTCAGTGGGTCCTCACTCCCCCTGCCGCCTGCCAGTGAGACGCCCTGGGGCCTGGGGGAAGACCCGAGCTGATGTCCCCAGGAAGGAGACTGTTGTCAGCACAGGACCCAGGCAAGGCGGCCTTACTCCCCAGAGCTCCAGACTACATTTTTGGTCAGGAGACCCCAGGGATGGGTGGTCCAGTGGCACAGGTGCCAAGGGTTGGACATGTGGCTGGTCTGCGTCCCAGCCGTATATGGGTGACACTGTGGGCCCCGGGCCAGGCTACGGCTAAGAGGTCCTGAGTGACGCGCTTTGGTCCCCTTTGTCTCTTCAGGCCCAGGTGGGACCAGCAGAGAGGGCAGGGCTGGGGGTGGAGCTCCCCTCGGCTGGGAGGCTGGCATCCGAGCCTGTCCAGGCTGGGAGCTGGGAGTCCAGCACCGCAGGCACTGAATCCTCAAGTATTACTAGAATGAGCTGACCCTGAGCACAGTTGGCTCGGCAGGAGCAGCTGTGGGACCAACTGGCAGTGAGTGAGTTAACTGCAGCAGCAGCAGCTGTCTCTCTGCAAGGAAACCCCCACCCCCTCAGATGCAGCCCAGCTGCCTGGCGTCCCACCAGGATCAAGCACAGGGGCTGAAACTGGAAGTTCAGGCCTGTGGCTGCATCTGCCTCTGTGGTGAGCACTGGAGGAGGGAAGCAGCCCTTCGCTGCCGTCTGTCTGTCCATCCGTCCATAACCCCATCTGCCTGGTTGGCTGCTCACTGTTCATCTTTAAACTCATCTTTCCACCTATCTGTAAGTCCATCTCTGTCCAAATGTCTGTCTGACTATCCTGTTTGTCCAGCTGTCTGACCTGAATGTCAGTCCATCTGTGCGTCTTCTCACCCCTCCATCTGCCTGTCCGTCTGTCCCTCTGTCCGTCTACCAGCCTGTCTGCCCACCTGCCTCCATCCTCCCCCTGGGCCACTGAGCCATGGCCGGGGGCCACAGGTCCACAGTCAGCCTGGTCCTGCTGGTGCTGGGGCTGACGCTGGCAGTCACTGTGCTGGCGGTGGTCCTCTCTAGCCACCACAGCCCCTGCAGCCCCCCGGCCTTTGCCCACGCTGCTGTAGCTGCTGACTCCAAGGTCTGCTCAGACATTGGACGGTAAGTAAGAGATTGGTGGGAGCTGGGAGGCTCGTGGCCGCTGGCTCCTCCTGGAGACGTTGTGACTGGTGGTGAGAGAGGAGGGCACCCTGTGTACATGAGCCCGGCTCATGGGGTAGGACCCAGGCCTGGGTACAAGGAGGCAGCCTCAAGACCTCTGCGCAGAATAGGTGTCAGGAGCCCACAGGCCACCGGCAGTGCCGGCAGAGGCAGTGTTCCTGGCTCCGGCGCTCAGGAGGTCCGTCTGCACCATACAGATCAGATATGGAGACCCTAAAAGGGCCCTGCTTGTCCCTGGTCTGGCCCAACCTGATCCCAGCGGCAGGCACTAAGCCAAGGCTGGGCTAGGTCTCCGAGTGTGGGGACTCTTCCCAAGGCGTGGGCTTCTGTGGGTACTGGCCTGCCAGATGCACCTGACGCTGGCCAGTTTCCCCTTGGGCCGGGGCTGCAGTGCCAAGTCTTTCAGACCGAGGAAACCCCCACCAGCCTGTGCCACATTCCCCACATCAGGGCCAGGTCTGGAAGGACGGAGAGACTGACGTTTGGCAGGCTGGGATGGGGGGGAGGGGCCGCGGCTGGCGTTTCCCAACCTTTTTCCAGGAAACCCAGCTCAAGGGAAGTCTCTGCCCAGCCACACCACCACCAGGGAGGGACGTGGCAGGGAGCCCGTGCTGGCCCCCTGCCTCCCACTGGACCCCCACGCTTGAACAAGCACCCGCTTTCCCGCCAAGGCGTTTGATTCCCAGATCTTGCTCACTGGCCCTGATGAGGACCCAAAGTGCTTTGTAAACCCAAAGTCTGTTCTGGTGCCAAGGCGGGGTGTGTCTGGGTCCTGGCCCAGGCCTTGGCTGTGCAGGGTAGGGTCCTGCCCCTTTTCTTTCTTTTTTCTTTCTGTCTTTGTGTTTTGAGACGGGTCTCACTATGTGGTCCGGGCTGGCCCTGAACTTACTACACAGTCTAGGTTGCCCACGAACTCTTCTAGAGATTGGGGCAGGCTGGAGCCACAGCCTTTGATACCAAAGCCTTACTATCAAGTGTAAGCCTCTTAAACGCTGGGATTACAGGCGAGCACCAGCGCCCTGGCAGATCCCCCTTCTTCCTGGTATATGCTTTCTTCTGTGCACGCACGCATCCAGCTTTTCATTCATCCTCCCTCCCGGCATCCATCTGTCCACCCCGCCCTGCTCCAGCTGCTCGTCCCAGGCCCTAGTCCCTCCGGACAGGTCCCCCGGGCTCTCCTCGGGCTTGCTGCCCCCTCCCTTACGTCTCCTTTCAGGGTGGCAGTGGCTGAGCACGGTGGCTCAAGGACAAGTTAGAAGGCAGCCTCTTTGCCGCCCTCCCCGGGTGCTCCCAAGGGATGCGAGGGAGTGAGCTGTCTGCCACCCCCCAATATCGTGCACTCCCAACCCCGACGTTGCCAGGACGCAAATGAGGCCAGAGGACCACAAGCCCCAGAGACGATCAGGTGGGCACGCAGCTCTCGGGCACAGAGGGCTGCTACCACCCTCTCTGAGCAGGTCCGGGCCTGCTGTGTCTCCCGGGCTCTCTCTGGGGGTCTCTGCTCTGAGCCTGCTCCCTCTGTCCGAACTCTGTTGGGCTCGCCTTTTGTGAAAAGAGCAGCTGTGGTTTTTCCCCCGTGTTTGGTCAAACAACTCTCTGCTCCCTGTTCTCGTTCTGAGAAGCCAGGGGTGGGAGGGAGCTTCGCTACTGCTCCAGCTACTACTACGGAGCGGAGTGGAGCAGGGGTCGGTGACCCCCGCAGGGATGGGGCTGTGGGGCAGCTCAGAGAGATGCCTGCTGCGGGGTCGTCCTGGCCAGGATCTTTTCCTGCGGGGCCCCTGGCCACCCATCCAGGTTGTCGATGGACAACCGCATCCCATATTCCTCCCTCTTTTCTGTCTCCTCTCCTTCCACATTTGCTCCGAGCCCCTGGCTCTATGTGAGGAGCCGGGAGCACGGTGACCCTGAGGCCCCTGGCCCTCTACTCTGTCCTCTCCCGGCACGATGTCCTCATGTGTTAGACCTGTGTGCAAACCGCGTGTCCCGAGGCTCTGAGCAGCCATTTGTCTTCTAAGGAAACTTCCTAAGCTTGAGGGTTACGAATGTCTTTGAGGTTTTACGGCTTCTGTTTGCAGTGGCTTCTCAAAAATTCCTGCCCTCAGTTGGGTGTGGTGGCACAAGCTTGTGATCCCAGAATTTGGAGAGGCTGAGGCAAGAGGATCACGCGTTTGAACCCAGCCTGAGCAACTTGTGACTTAGTGAGACCCTGCCTCCAAATAAAAAAGCGCTGGGGATGTTGTACAGTGTGAACACCCTGAGTTTAATCCCCAATGCGGAGAAAGAAAAGGTGGAGGGGGGAGAAAGAAGGAAGGAAGAAAAGAAAGAAAGAAAGAAAGAATCCATTTGACTTAGGAAGAAATTAGGCCTGAGCAGGAAAAAGAACCTGCCCAGGCTCAGAGGACAGGCTGGGACTGTCATACTTTACCGTGCCGCTGCCACTCCTGCAGGGGTGGAAACTCTCAGGGCTGTGGGAGGGCTGGGGTTTTCCTGGGCCCCTCATTCCTCTCCTTGAACCCCAATCCCTGCCTAGCCTACCAGCTGGGCCCGTAAGGCCAGAGCTTCACCAAGTCAAGTGACCGGTTCCAGAGAACACTGGCAGGACTCTGATGAGCAAACTTCTGGGAAATTGGAGTCTGGCTATGGGATGGAGTTGTTGGGCCCCCCAAGGGGTAGATTTTTGTTCCTTTGTTAGTTGGTTTTTGAGACAGTCTTGCTAAGCATTCTAAAATGGCCTTGAGAGCAGGGATTTAGCTCAGAGGTTCCACCGCTTGCCTTGAAAGTACAAGGACCCGAGTTCAATCCCTGTACCAAAAAATAAATAAAAAGATAAAATGTCCTTGAACTTACTTTGTAGCCCAGGCTGGCCTCAAACTCAGTGATCCTCCTGCCTCAGCCTCCTGAGTGCTGAGATTACAGGCGTGCAGGACCACACCACCTAAGGGCTGGGTTTTGTTTGTTTTTGGTTTTTTAAAGACAGGATTTCACTCAGTAGTTCAGGCTGGCCATGAACTCCCTTTGTAGCCCAGTCTGGCCTCTGACCTGCGGTGATCCTCCTGCCTCAGCCTCCCAACTGCTGAAACTGCAAGCATGCACTACCACACCCAGCTAAGGGCTGCGTTGTCAGCTGCTCCATCCCCAGCAGGTGTCTGGCTCTTGCCCTTGGTACAGAAGAAAGCCGGGACCCTGGACAAACTGCTGCAGCTCACAATCCTCGGGGTCCTCACAGGAGACCACGGTTCTGTTTAATGACATTTATGGTGGCTTGGCTGGATCATGTTGACATCTAGGACCTGAGGGGGATTAGGGTGTGACCTCTTCCTCCAGGACCATGGCCTTTGATCTACTGTTTCCTCCCCTCCAGCCTCTGCATGGGCCTATGACCCTTGTGGCTCTCTGTACTCTGGGCAGGCTCACCAGGAAATTACCACCCTCCCTCCCTCCTGGGGCTGAGGCGGAAATGGCCACCAAGCCTGCCCAAGGACTCTGCACGCGCGTGCAGATGGGTGGTGATACACCCGTCTGACTGGGTGTGCGGCATGGCGATGGTGGCGGCCTCCTTCTCCTTGGCGATAGAAACATGCGGTTCGCCTGCTGGCTGGAACTGCCCACATCTTATGGCTGAGGAACCGAAGTTCAGGTTACTGGGTGACATGCCCAGGGTCCTGCAACTGGCATATAGGAACGCCAGCCCCGGGCCGTGAGCCCAGGAGTGTATTCTGAGGTTGTGAATGCATGGGGTGTGTGTGTCTTTCTCCATCTGCAGTGTCCGTATCCAGGATGTGAGGTGCACCTGTGTCTGCCAGACTTGGCCCAGGGATACACTGGGCACCAAGATGGCACAGCCCCGCCTTCATGGTAGGGGAAGTGACAATAAATCCATGACTGGCGCTGGGGTTGGACGTGATCATTGGTCAGTGTGCGTTCATTTTTAGGGCTTTTTCATCCTTTTAGTTTTAATTTTATTTTATTTCTTGCCAGGTATGGTAAATCCCAGCACTCAGGAGGCTGAAGCAGGAGGATTGCTACCAAGTTCAGGACCAGCCTGAACTACTACCTGCTTCAAAAAACCAAAACAAAAAATATTTTTAAATTTCTTTTTTCTGGTCTGTGTGTGTGTGTGTGTGTGTGTGTGTGACTAGACATTGAACACAGGGCCTCACACAGCTAGGCAAGCACCCTACCGCTGAGCTACATCCTCAGCCCAAGTTTGGCTTCTGGTATAGTTTCTGGTGTCTAGAAAGCCTTATTTTCTCATTCCAAAGGATATATTATGTATCATACATAATTATAGTATCAGATATATAAGACAGAGTAACCCTACCTCTCCCTTTTATGGATATTCTCTGCTGGCCCCTCTTTTGCTGAGTGTCAGTTTGGTTGTATTGTGGTGCCTAAGGATTTGGTCAACTACAGATTCTCACCACGCATGGCGGCACACACCGATAACCCCGCACTTCGGTAGGCTGAGGCAGGAGGATCACACATTCAAATTAGCTTGGGCAACTCAGTGATTTAGTAAGAGGCTGTCTCAAAATAAAAAAAAATGTAAAGTGTTGAAGATACATACTGCTCAATGCAAAAGACTTGGGTTCAATTCCCACTACTGCAAGAAAAAAAATAAAATAAAAAGGATCCTCTTCAATTTATGATGGGATTACATCCCAATAAACCCATCATTGTTGAAAACAGATTTCAAAAATGCATTTACTCCATCTGAGCTGCCAACCCCCTTGGTTGAGCAGCGCAGTGCACTTTGGAGCATAGATGGATTTCGGATCCTGGATTGGGGGGTGGTCCAGCAACGTGAGAGAGGACGATCAACTGCGTGTCACCAGGCCTGGGAAATCAACACGCGAAATACAGTTTCTAGTGAACACGTTATCACTCTTACACCATCATCAATGTTCGAAATTGTAAATTGAGCTAGGTGTGGTGGTGCGTGGCTGTAATCCCAGCCCTCGAGAGGCTGAGGCAGGAGGATCACTGTGAGTTCGAGACCAGCCTGGGCTACACAGTGAGTTTCAGGTCAGTGTCAACTACACAGTGAGACCCTGTCTAAAAAAAAAAAAAAAAAAAAAAAAAAAAAAAAAGACTGTAACAGAAATGCTCCTGAGCTGGATGTGGAGGCACCTATTATAGTGCCACCTATTTCAGAGGCTGAGGCAAGGGGGTCACTGTAGCCCAGGAGCTGCTCGCCAGAGAAATATAGTGATACTCTGTTTTTGTTTGTTTGTTTTTGGTACCACGGATCGAACTTGGGTCCTTCTGCTTGCAAGGCAGGCGGTGGAACCACTGAGCTAAATCCTCGGCCCAGTGATGCTCTGTTTCTAAAACATGTGGCCAGGCAAGGTGATACACACCTGTAATCCACTTTGAGGCCAGCTGGGGCAATTTAGCAAGAACCTGCCTCAAAATAAAGAAACAATACATCAAAAATAAATAAAAGACTAGGGAGGTAGCTCAGTGGCAGAGCTGTAGGTGCACTGCCTTAGGTTCAATCTCCAATGCTGCAAATAATATGAAAATATTACAGGAAGTTCTGCCTGAGTTTCTCGCCCGCCCTCTTGAGATTTTGAACTCAAGACTACAACATCCGCTCTTGGCTCCCTGGAGGAACTGCACCTGCTCCCTGCAGATTTCAGTCTTGCCAGACCTCGCAGTGCACAAGCCAGTTCCTTGAGACGAACGCCCCTCTGCCTGTGCATGTCCTATTGATTTGATCTACAGACCTCTTACTGACCCTGTTTCCTCCTGTGAGGAAATTTCTAGAGCCGAGTTAGGGACGTCTTCTTCCTCCTGTGATGCGCACTCTCCTTCACTCTATATTACTTCACTGCCTGAAGTTTGTATCATTTGAAATGAGTGACATCCTCATTATTATTTTGCATTGTTGAGATTGAACTCACGGTCTTGTATCTGGTATGTACTAGGAAAGCATTGTATCACAGAGCAACACCCACAGCCCTGAAATTACGATGAACATACAGCTTTCATGGTTAGCATTTACATGATATATTTTTAATCATTGTACTTTCCACCTTTCTGTACCACTTATATAAAAGGCATTTGTTTTAATCTATTATTTAAATTTTCATCCAGGGCTGGGGATTTAGCTCAGTGGTTCTGCCGCCTGCCTTGCAAGTGCAAGGACCCGAGTTCCATCCCCGGTACCAAAAAGAAATAAATAAGTTTTCACCCATTATCATCTTCTACATAATGCCATTAATGATTCATTTAGGTTTATAACAGTACTCAGATGGCTGAGGCAGGAGGATCACCGTGCGTTCAAGGCCAGCCTAAAATAAACACCTAGCCGGAATGTTTTGTTTGTTTGTTTGTTTTGTAGCGGGGATCGAACTCGGGTCCTTGTGCTTGCGAGGCAGGCACCGGAACCAGTGAGCTAAATCCCTAGCCCCCAGGATCTTTTATTTTAAATCTCACAAGATATTATCACTTTCTGTGTCACTAAAATTTTTTTTGTTTTGTTTTTGAGGCAGCGTCTTGCTGTGTAGTTCAGGCTGGCCATGAGTTCACAATGTAGTCCAGGCTGGCCTCACACTCAAAGCGATCCTCCTACCTCAGCCTCTCAAACCCTGGGATTACAGGTGTGTGCCAACACGCCCGGCTGAGGAAAGTATTTTAGAAACTAAAATCTGGACGCTCAGAGTCCTTGTGCCCTGTGGGATACCAATGACTTCCAGTTTGCTTCCATGCAGAGCCAGAAAAGACCAAAACAAGACTGCGACTCCATCCCAGTAGCTCCAGTCCAAACCTACCATGGCAGGCTCCCTTCCCTATCTTTTCCCATCTCATACCACCCCCCATGGTGACAGAAGTTCCCAACAACGTCAGTATATTTATTTTCTTGCTTTGTTCCAAAATACTTTTGAAACTGCTTCAACAACAATATTACTCATTGGGACTGGCAGCCCCTGCCCTGGTGTGTGGATGAGAGCAATCATCATCCCTGAATCAGCCCGCTGGGACCTGCAGCAAAGTCTAACCTTCACCGGTCAGCACACCATCCATACGACAGAAGCACAATCTCCCTCCGAAGTCAAGGTGAATCAAGTTTCAAAGCGATGCTGAAAAAGCCATTAGCTCAGAACAGCACAGTGTGCCCCAGCCAAGGGAGCTATCTGCCTTTCCCCTGTGGCACAGATAAGAAGTTCCCCATCTAACTCCCTGTAATCAACCATTGTTTTGCAAGTCTGTCTGGCTCTTTTACCAGCCATGCCAAAGTTGCCTGGAGCAGGTTGTAAAATCCCCATCTGTTCTTATTCTTTCACTCTTTCCAAACTCCATCCCACCCAGCAGCTGGTACAACCGTTATCTACTATCTGCTGGGGAAAGACCAACCCACTGATGAGTATCTCACATCCACCATCCAATAACTTCTCCAAAGCCCCACCTACGAGCACAGGAGGCTTGGTGTGTGTGGGGTGGGGGCATCTGGATATAAACCATATCAAATATCCTTCCTTGGAATGTGCTCAGGGACAGGGAGATTCCCAGCAAACAGGGAAGAGGAAGCACTCTTCCAATTCCTAGATGTAACCATACTTGTACTCCGACGTTCTCACCCCTTTGTCTTTCAGTAACTGCCCCGTGTCAGAGCCAAGTCTCCCCAGAGGCACCTGGAGAGGCCTTTGCACCGTAGTCCATCGTGCATGAATTAATTCCCCAAGAAAGAACAGGACTTGGAGCCAATCATCAGCATCAGAGCAGGAGAGCTGGAGCCGGGGCTCCAGAGCTCCAGAGCTGCTTGTCTTTGTTCCTTCAGCAAAACCAGCTACAGTGCTCCTTTGTTCACAGTCATTACAGTAGTTACGATCAGTTTACTGAGACATGATGAGATAGGACACCAGCGGTGTGACCTCAGCCACACTGCACACGCGTGGTCAAGTAGGTTAAATCACTTATGTAACTGGCCAGTTATGCGCATGCTCCTGAGGGTGCTCAGGGGCACTTACCTTTCCTGGGTTTTGAGTCTGATCAGAAGTGGTACCCCACACCCAGGGCCCCAGAAAACATGGAGGGCTCCATCGATCGGTGGACCTTCGGTCCCAGTAAGTGAGATTATTTGGAGCTGGGCCTAATTCTGGCTGGGGGTTATGCCTGTAATAAGGACCCATCCCCGAGAGCAGGGAGTTCACAGCACCCCTTCGCCAGCCCTGTCAGCTCCTCCCTGATGTTTAGCCATCTCTCCAGGACTGGCAATCGAAATTTTTATTTTTTGTGATTTTTTTTTTTTTTTTTTTTTTTTTTTTTTTTTTTTTTTTTTTTTTTTTTTTTGAGACAGGGACTTGCTAGGTAGCACAGAATGGCCTTGAGCTCACTATGCAGCCCAAACTGGCCTGTGCTGGGATTACAGGTGTGCACCACCACGCCTTTATTTTTTATTTTGAGACAGGGTCTCCATAAGTCACTAAGCCGCACAGGCCGGGTTTGAATTTGTGATCCGTCTGCCTCAGCATTCCAGCGTCTTGGGATCAGTGTGCCAGCAGCTTAGTTCAGAGTCGGCATTTTATGCCATAAGCCTGGATGAGCTCATCCACAGATGAGGAGGGACTGAGCCCAGGGCCCCCAACACCAGAGGGTCAGGAAGATGGGAGCAAAACCTGACAGGGGTAAGAACAGAAGGGGGTTCTTAGGGAGGGGGCATTGGAGAGAGCTGGGTGCTGCTGGGTTAGCAGGTCAGCTCATTCCATTTAGCAACGAGATGAGACCTTCGTCTCTCAAGGGAATCTGTCCCTCCCTCCCTCCTTGCCCCAGCTTGTCATCTGACTTTATGGATGATGCTTTATTCTTTTAAAAAATAAGTAATGATGCCAGAATGTAGCAATCTTGTTTCTTTCATGCTTCTGGCTTCCCGCCCTTTTCCCACACCAAAATTATGTATTCCGCATGGCAGCCGTGTGAAGCCGGCCACATTTTGGCCTGGAGTTGGGGGCCCATGGCTCGGGAGCTGGGGAGGGCTGGAGTCCAGGACAGACTGGGGAGGCCACAGGGAATGGAGCAGAGGGAAGATATGGAGTCATAATTCCACAGGATGGGACAGGAAATCCAAGTCTGTCGCCTCTTTGGGTCTTGATTTCCTCATTGTTTACTAGGGTTGAATGGAGTCCCTGACCTGAGATAGTCAAGTACTGGCCGTCCTGGTCTTATGGCCCCTGGCACAGAGTCTCCCAGGGGCCGTCCAAGCCGGGTCTGCCTGCGAATGAGCTAGGACCCCCAGAGCCATCGTGACAGCACAAGTTGTTTGCGAACGGAGAGGTGCTCGGTAAATGGCCAAGTGTAAGCGGCGTCTTCTAGAATGCAATGGACCGGCGAACGTCTTGATTTGAGGGGTAGCCCAGTGCATTTTCTAACCTAACCTCAGTTCTGCGGCAGCTGACGGGCCACCGATCTGTTCCTGAGTTGAGTGCCAGATGAGCGAGCCCTGACGGGCACGAGAGCCAGGCCACTGACTCTGCCATGTCCCCTAGAGACACCCTCCAGCAGCAGGGCTCACCTGTGGATGCCACCATTGCAGCCCTGGTCTGCACCAGCGTTATGAACCCTCAGAGCATGGGCCTGGGTGGAGGTGTCATCTTCACCATCTACAATGCTACGACAGGTGGGCTTCCACGTGGACACCCTCGCTCCCCACCACGGAAGACAGACTTGTCCACAACCACTGGAAACCTGTTCCCGGGTGCCCTCCCACCGCCCTCCCTGTGCGCTCAGGCCTCCCTACCCTGCCCCTCACCTCTGCTATACTCTAGCGGCACATCCCGACCCAAGTGTTAGCACAGAGAGGGGAGGACTCAGCTGAGACGGGCTGGGCCATCTGAGGGACCACGACCACTCACTCACCCTACCCCAACTGCAGGGAAGGTGGAGATCATCAATGCCCGGGAGACTGTGCCAGCCAGCTATGCCTGGGGCCTGCTGGACCAGTGTGAACGTGCCCTACCCCTGGGTACAGGTGAGGCCTTAGCAGGGGTGCCCACCTCCAACCCGCTGGGCCCCTGGGGCTGACCGAAACACCCTAGGAAGACAGACAAGCTGTGACACGTTGGCATGGGGACAGCAGCTAGGGTATGAGGAGCTTGTGTGGGGCCTGTGATCTTCTGGGGTTGGGGGTTGTCTTCCTGGGGGCAGGGCTCTCTGAGTAGGAAAGAGTACCCAAGGGGAAGGCCAGGCTGGGCCAAGTCCTGAGGGGCTGGTAGGAAATGGCCACTGAGTCAGTCTGTGTGGGCCCAGAGGAGCCTAGCTACGGGCTTGGTACAGAAGGCAGTGGAGTACCACAGAGGTCTTTGTGGAGAGTAGTGTGGTCAGGGGTGGGTTCCAAAGGCTCGCTCTGGCTGCCACGTCTGGGTGAACCAACTGTGAGAGAAGAAGAGAGCTCTGGGCAGGCCTGGAAGCCCAAGGGCTGAGGACAGGGGCCTGCCGTGCAGGGGCCCAGTGGATCGGGGTGCCCGGGGAGCTCGGAGGCTATGCTGAGGCCCACCGCCGCCATGGCCGCCTGCCCTGGGCGCAGCTGTTCCAGCCCACCATCGCCCTGCTCCGAGGGGACTTCCGCATGCCCTCCATCCTCAGCCAGTTCCTCAACAGCAGGTTGCTGCGGCCTTTCTTGTACAACTCAACTCTAAGGTGAGATCACAAGGCGGCCTCGGGCTCAAGGTCAGATCCCATCGGACTCAGCCACTGAGTTGGAGGGTTGACCCTAAGGGGGCCCCAGGGGCCTTAAGACCAGAATGGCCAGCACTTTTCTCAGGTCAGAACCTGGCTTGGAGAAGCTTAGGCCCAAATAGGAGATGCAAGGGTGTAGATCTGGGCTCTGCCACTCCCCTCAGCCCTGGCAGCCTTCTTGCTCTCTTTGGAGCGATAGGAGGGCTTTGGTGGCCTTCCCTGCCAGATCTCTGACAGGAGCTCCCATGGGTGTGGGCAGGACAGTCCCCGGGCAAATACGGACCCACAGGGAAAGGTACCCTCTCTGGGTTGGCGCTGTGACTGGGGTGGGTGGGATCAGCCCCACTGCTCCTAGAGAATCGATCCCCCTGTTACTCACCTAGGACTTCAGGACCCCAGGCCAGGACTCTCCCCATAGGATCTCACTCGAGCCTCTAGAAAGAGTGTGGCTGCCCTCTAATCCCCGGCCCAACCCTGAGTCTGCCCTCTCCACCCCCCAGGCAGCTTTTCTTCAATGGAACTGAACCCCTAAAGCCTCAGGACCCCTTCCCATGGCCTGTGTTAGCCACCACCCTGGAGACCGTGGCCACAGAGGGTGCGAAGGCCTTTTACACGGGGAGGCTGGGCCAGATGCTGGTGGATGACATTGCCAAAGAAGGTCAGCCACACTGGCTTTTCCATGCCTGGTCCTGACCAGAGAAGGGGCAAGCCCTGGGAAGGTCTGGAAGTTGTGGGTGGCAGGTTGGAAGTGGGCCTTCTCCCAGGCTCCGTTCCCAGGGCTCCTACTGCCAGCCACAGGGGCATCTGTGGGAAGGGGTCGTAGCCTGTCACAGCAGCTCTGGACGGCTGAGCTGACCACCGTCCCAGTCCTCTCTCCTACTTTCCTCTGGTCTCTGTCCATCCATCCCATGCCACTGCGCGCACGTGCGCACACACACACACACACACACTCACACACACTTCCAGGTCTGCACAGATGGGGACAAGGGGGATTCCCACTGTGGCAAATGTTTCTTCACCTCAGTTTGCCTATATGTACATGAGACCCTCCCTGTCTCACCCCAGGGAGCCAGCTGACCCTGCAGGACCTGGCTGCCTTCCAGCCTGAGGTGGTGGATGCCCTGGAGATGCCCCTGGGAAACTACACTCTGTACTCACCACCACCACCTGCGGGGGGCGCCATTCTCGGCTTCATCCTTAATGTACTGAGAGGTAAAACCTTCGCCAATCCCCTGCTCTGCTAGGAACTTGAGCTCTCAGCCCAGCCACGGCTTTGGGCCGTGTATAAGCCAACTTTTCATCATTACAATGAAATACCTGACTGAAAAAACAGGTGGCTGAGGGTACAGGCTAATGGTAGAGCTTTTCCCAAGCATGCATCATGCCTTGGGTTTGATCTTCAGCACTGCTAAATAAAAAAATAAAGAGGAAGAAAAAAAGAGAAAGAGAGAGGCAAAGGAGAGAAAGAGAAAGGAACGGGAAAGAAAGGAGAAAAGAAAAAGAAAGAAGGAAAGAAAGAGGGAGAGTGGTTTATTTAATTCAGTGCTGGAGGTTCAAGAGCAGGACACCTAGCCGGGTGTGGTGGTGCACGCCTGTGATCCCAGCACTTGGAGACTGAGGCAGGAGGATCACTGCATGTTCAAGGCCAGCCTGGGCTACATAGTGAGTTTGAGGCCAATCTGATCTACACAGTGAGATCCTGTCTCAAAAGAAAAAAAAAAAAGCTGGGCACTTGCCCTGGCTCAGTTCTGATGTGGGCCCCATTGCGGGTGGCTTGGCATCATGTACTGGGACAAACAGTTCTATCTCAAGCCAGGAAGTAGAAAGATCTGGGTGAGGCTAGGGCTGCTGCTTTCATAACCCTCTCGTGAGAACTACCCAGAGGCGGCACGCGGACCACTTTCCAAGGTTACGGCCCTGGTGACCGCACCACTTCACATTAGGTTCCACTCTTAAAGGTTCTAAAACCTCCTCTTTTTCATGTGCAGATCCCCTCCCGTGAGCATTCTCATCATGTATGCCTAAAATGTGCCAATACATGTTTTGCTATAAAGTAAAATAAAGCTTCCTCTTCCCGCCACCTTGGGTCTGAGCCTCCAGTCGCAATGGACCCCTGGGGCACAACCAAGCTGTACCCCAACTATGGCAGGCAGCCCCTGCCTCTTCGTGCCCGGCCTCCTGATCCACATACTGGAAGAGCAGATGCTTGACCCCCAAAAGAAGCCTGTAGGTGGTGGCCAGGATGGTGGGTATTAGAGCCGGCGCTTTGGATTGGCCTCTGCTTAAGGTTTTTCGGAAGGGCCTGGCGGCCTTCTCCCTAGTAGGTGAGCCAGCCGCACGGCACAAGAAGAGCAGGTAGGCTCTGCAGGTAGTGAGCTGCCCTTCAGAGGCCCGCATTCAGGCCCGAGACACAACCCATCTTGTCACAGCCTGCCTGCCGTGTGTTCACGCCTGCAGTGTCCGGGTCTGAGGGTGTCTGTGCCTAGCTCTGTCAGTGTCCTGGAGCTGCTGTGACAAAGTGCTGCCTTAAAACAACAGGAATTTATCGCCTCACATTGTAGAGGCCGGAAATCCCACATCAAGTTGCCCACAGGGCCACTTTCCCTCTGGGGACTCTAGAGAAGAATCTGTTGCTCTCCTCTTCCTGACTCTGGTGGCTGCAGTATTCCTTGGCCTTGTCTGTACAGCTCCAGTCTCTACCTCTGTGGCTATACTGAAGGTGTTAGCCCATGATTAATGGGCTCGTTGCTTTGGGGCCTGTGGCAAGGCAGCAGCTCATGGTCGGACCACACAGTAAACCAAGCTTCTCCCCTCAGAGCGGCTGGGAAGGGGGACGGGGAGGGGGAGGGAGAGAGACAAACCAAATTAAATTTTTCCTAAGAGAGAAGGAGAAGAGAGTAAGAGAACAGCATCCCAGTGCCTTTCAATGGCACACCCCAGCGACCTAAAACCTCCCTCAAAGCCCACCTCTTAAAGGTTCCACAACCTCTGCATAGCAAGCTGAGGACCAAGTTATTAACACATGGGCCTTTGGGGGCAATTCCAGATTCGACTATAGCATTGCTCTTCCTCTACCCAGACTTTGGTGGCCATTCTTTTTTTTGGTTTTTGTCTTTTGTTTTTTTTGGTTTTTTTTGGTAACGGGGATCAGACTCAGGTCCTTGCATTTGCAAGGCAGGCAGCCGAACCACTGAGCTAAATCCCAGGTTGGTGGCCATTCTTAAATAAAACAGGTATTGCTTGAACACAAGTACCTTAATGCTAACAGTTGAATCAATAATGAAGATGGCTAATCGGTGACTCATGGGTGGGTACTATATACAGCATGGATACATTGGTTAAAGGGATGCTTCACATCCCCAGGAGGTAGAGCAGAATGGCATGAGATTTCATCTGCTACTTAGAATGACATGAAACTTATGAATTGTTTATTTCTGTAATTTTCCACTTAATTTTCAGGCCATGGGGTCTCAGGTAACTGAAACGGTGGGAGATGAAACTATTGATAAGACGATACTATTTTATTGGCTTCTCTCCTTTCTGTGTTTTTCTTGTATGGATACATGTGATCAGAGGCAGAGCTCATCTGCGTAACCCAGGATAATCTCCTCTCAAATTCTTTTATTAAAAAAAAAAAAGCCAGGCCAGGGATTTAGCTCAGCGGTTCAGTGGCCTGCCTTGCAAGAGCAAGGACCCGAGTTCAATCCCCAGTACCAAAAAAAAAAAAGCCTTTCCTTAGCATATTTTAACATATAGGGTAATATTCACTCTAACTCTAGTTAAGGCAATATACATAGGTTCTGGGAATGAGGACATGAATGAGTATTTGGGGGACCAACATTCAATGCACTGTACAGAGGGACCCCCACCTGTGTCCCACCCTCTCCCCAGGGTTCAACTTCTCAGCAGAGTCGGTGGCCCAGCTCGAAGGGAGAGTGAGCATGTACCATCACCTTGTGGAGACTCTCAAGTTTGCTGGGGGACAGAGATGGCGGCTGTGGGACCCTCGAAGCCGCCCAGAGGTCCAGGTGAAGTTGCCTGGGGCTGCTGGGATTCCTCTTTCTTGCCGCAGGACTTGGCATGAAGGGAGGGCCAGACTGAGGGGGGCGGGTAGAGAAGGAGGTAGCAGTGGACCGGGGTGGGAAGGGCTCAGTGACCCTGGGCACTAGAAGAGACCCTGGGGTGGCAGGTCTGGCAGGCAGGATCTGGGCGTAGCCTGGGCTTCCGGAGGTCCCTCTGGCTCCTGGTACAGGAGAGACATGAGAGGGTCCTCCAAGGGTGCTAAACTGAGCCCCTCCCCTGCTCCGTGGACCCCACCTGGCCCCCTCACTGACCCTGCACCCGCCTGCTCACCCCAGAACGCTTCCCAGGAATTGCTGGGGGAAGCTCTGGCCCAGCACATCCGCCAGCAGATCGATGACCGCGGTGACCACCAGCGCAGCCACTACAACCTGGCCGGGGCCTGGGGCCACAGGATGGGTACTTCCCACGTGTCTGTGCTGGGAGAGGACGGCAGTGCTGTGGCTGCCACCAGCACCATCAACACACCGTGCGTGGGGCCGGGAGCAGGCCCTTCCCCCTTGCTCCTCGACCTGAACCCTGTCCACCCCCAGCGTGGTCAACACTGCCTGCCTCCCTCTGTCCCCAGGGAGGCAGCGCCTTGCTTTTGCTCTGTCCGTCCTGCTATCTGTACACACGGGACAGTCACACCTGGCACGTCTCTGGCTGAGAAAGATGTTCCTGGGGTCCCCTCCGAGCCAGGACCTTTGTGGGATGGGCCTTACTCAGAAGAATGTCTCAACAGGAGCACCAGGGGACATTTCAGGAGCCCAAGCTTAGGCTCCATCTCCCCTGTCTGCAGCTTTGGAGCAATGGTGTACTCACCTCGGACGGGCATCCTCCTCAACAATGAGCTGCTGGACTTGTGCTGGAGACGCGGCTCAGGCTCCAGCTACAGGCCCCCGCCAGGTGAGAGGCTTCCGGGGAGAATCTGTGAGCATCTCCCGGGGAGAGGAGAAAAGGGCAGCTGTGTGCTGACCCCTGGGTGGGTCACCCCCTTCCCTGAGCCGCTGTTCGGTCAGCAGTGAAGGAAGACAGGGCGGGTGTTGTTCCCGGAGGGCATGGGTGACGCCTGTTGGGTCCCCAGTTGTAGGTGAGCGGCCACCGTCATCCATGGTACCATCCATCTTGGTCAACAGAGCCCAGGGGTCGAAGGTGGTGATCGGCGGGGCTGGCGGGGAGCTCATCATCTCTGCTGTGGTCCAGGTACATCGCGGGTCCTGGCTAAAGCGGCGGCCGCACTCTGGGAAGCCCCTGGGGTGTGAGTAGGAGGGTTGGTGTGGCCTGGCTGGCGCCCTTCCCTCTCCGCGTCCTTTCTGTCTCTCAGGCCATCGTGAACAAGCTGTGGCTTGGCTTCGATCTGGCAGCAGCCATCACAGCCCCTATTCTGCACGTCAACAGCAGGGGTGGTGTGGAATACGAGGCCAACTTCAGCCAGGTGAGACAGCATTGGAGGCCCCCCCAACAATCCACGCTACTCAGAGGCCCCTGGGATGAACTCAGCTTGCACAGCTCAGCCAGGAGCGCTTCACATTTGGGGGCCGCAAGGAGTTGGTTTCCATGGCAGAGAGTGAGGCGCCGCCCAAGCTCCTCCAGGCTGAGGCCTGCATCCCCCTTGGTCCCTGGTCTGCTCGCGTCATTTTTTTTTTGGAAGCTAATTCTCCTGGCTGTGGCATCTCAGACTACCCCTCTTGGCAATTTTCTTCCTCCTGTGGTTTGTGTAAGACTTAAGTCTCAGTTTTACTCCTGGAGCGTGCACAGCCAAGAGGCTTCCACGATGCTGGGCTCAGAAGCTCAGCGAGGCTCCAGGAGCTTGTCGGACAGCGAGAGTCACCCAGGAAGGAACACACCAGGCAAGTTGGCAAACAGACCTTTATTAGTCTGGCCAGACGGCACTCCCCAAGCCAAGTAGCTCAGAGAGGCAGCTAGCTCAGAAACAGAGGCCATTTTATATAGGGCTAAGGGGGGCGGTTACACTTAAAACTTACAGGAAGAGGACAAAGGCAAAGAATCAGTTGATCTGAGCTAGTGGTCATCAAGCATATACTTGACCGTCACGTACTGATGATCAGCAGATCGATTATCCATTATTCCATTTACAACTTAGATTATAATGTTCAGAACATTCAACTACAGGCAAGCAAGGAGTGGCATGATTTGTGTTGGGTCTCTGTGTTCACTAGTTTCCATTTACTTTCCCAGCTACTTCCAAGCAGTTACCTAACAATTCACAATGAATCATTAGTTATCCTATAAGGGATGGGGGGAAGCGACAGTCTCTAGGTCGTTTGCTGGTCAACATGGAGTCGCTCTGGTTCAGTCAGGCTCTTACAGTTTGCAACTCATATTTGCGGATTTCTTTGTAAGGGATGCTATTTTTCCTGTGGGAGTCTTCAGAGTGCCTCCGTTCCAGTACACTGGGGCTTCCTGTAAACATCTCTTTTTGTTTTTCCATCAAGTCCTGTGGTGCAGGTCCAGGGGCTCATTCTCTTGGATACCCTCTCTCTCGGCTTCCTCGGAGCGTCTCAGGGCTGGTGCATGCTGTTTGTTAGAACCCATTTAACAGACTAGCAGCTGGGGTTGGGGACGTAGCCCATGGGGGAGCCTAGTGTTGACAAGGTCCCAGGTTCGATCCCCCCTGGTCTGAAGGCTGCCTTTCAGGGCCCTTGGAATCCTGAGAAACCACAGACTGGGGGACTTTAAACCAAGTGGATGTATACGGATAGTCTGGGACTCACAGTGGTTTGAGTAAAGAAAGGATTTTTCGACTTTCCAATGGTATGAAGTCCATACACATTCGGTATAAAATGTACTTTAATATACATCGGTAGTGAAGATTCACACAAATCCTATCTTTCACTTTCGATACAGTATTCAACAGATTACAGGAGATCCCCAACACTTCATGATAGAGCAGGTAGCTTGTGTTGGATGAAGACAAATGCATGGGTTCTGAGTACCTCTGAGGTGGGCTGGGCTAAGCTGAGATTAATTAAATATACTTTTGACTTCATGAGACAGCATTTTCATTTTACAACAGATTTATCAGGAAGGAGGCCCATGATACTGCGTGGACACCTTGGCGTTTGCATCGTGATGCGCAGGACCTCAGCCCGTTGGGCTCGAACTCTCAGACTCTGAGGTGTCCCCTTCCCCGTGTTGTACCTGCGGCACAGTGACCTCACGTGCTCTCTAGGGACACCAGATTCCAGGGAACTTGGATCTAGAAGATCCAGGATCTGAGGAGCAGCTTCTTAAGCCCTTCTTCCTTGACCCTTTACTGGAGGCCCAAGGCTGCAATCGTCACTTCCTGGGGACCCGGAAGACCTTTAATTCTGAGAATTTGGGAGATGACAGTCTCAGAACTGGGATTAATGGAATCCGATGGCACACGAAGGCCAAATCCTCAGCTCCCCTGGGGAGCCAGGAAATCAGCTATGCAGAGCCAAGGCTTTCCGTGGGAGAGACCTAAACTCTGTGTGGAGGCCTTGAATCTCTAAGGGGCTTTGCCGCTAAAGCAAAGTGACCTGAGGAAAGGAAGGTCACTGATCCTCAGCGGTCATGGATTTTGGCCACCAGACTCTTTGGAGCCTCTGAGGACCAAAAGTCCATCTTTGGCTTCAGTAGCAAGGGCCTCCGCCTTCAAGTCTAAGGATCTGGGGCATTTCAGAACCGAGAGTTCAGGGCACCAGGGACCTTGCCCTGCCAGTGGCTCAGATCCTGTGGTGTCACCTGACGTCCTCATAGCAAAGGACCCGGCAGGCTAAATTCTTGACTTTGTAGTCCAAAATGTGGAAATATGGGGCTGAAACTGCACAGGTCCCCATACTCTAGGACTTGGTCTCAACAGACTGATAGATATGCGAGTGTCATCACTGAGGCAAGTTACTTAGCATCTTAGAAGACAGCACTCAGTTAAGGGTCTACCTTGTCCTTTAACTGCTTCGAAGTCCACGGATTCACTGTCTTGGACCTGAGTCATTAGGGCCCCTTCCCTGAGCATCTCCCACTCTGAGGCCACTTGCGCTTTTAGTCTAAGGATCTAATTTCCTTGAATTCATGGGTTTTCAGAGGAAACAGGATGTGGAGCTTTGGGTCCTTCTAACCAAATCCTCTCTTCACAGGCCCTGCATTAGTCAGCTTTTTGTTGCTGGGGCAAAATGCCTGACGTGCAGCCTGAAAGAGAAAGGTTTATTTTAGCTCATGGTTTCGGTCCACGGTCAGCTGACTCTTCCATGACCGAGGGGAAAGCTGCTTCCCTCATGGCGTCCAGGAAGCAAAATGCAGAAGGAGGAGCCAGAGAGAAGCAGCGATCAGGAGGAGAGCACGCTCTTCAAACGCACACCCCCTATTCTGGCCGAATGGGCCCTGCCTCTTAGCAGCACCTTCAGCCATGAACTCACCAACAGATTAATCCACTGATGAGGTTAACCCTCCGGTGATCCGATCACCTTCCAGAAGCCCCACCTGTGAGCACGTGGCCCTCTTGGGGAGCGGGCAGTTCTCATCCAAACCGTAACAGGTCCAAAGTTGTGAGACATCACTGCCTGGGTAGTTTGATGACGACATCCCGTGGTGTCTAAGGGTCTCCAGCCTTCTCATCCGTGTGCCGAGACTGTAGGGCCTTATACGGTGCGGCAGTGCTCAAGTCACAGGATCTGGATACCTGGCACCCACTCTTGGTTCTCCTCAGGGTCTCTGGAGTCCCTGGGCACAGAGACCCCGAGGCAGAGAGAGAGAGAGAGAGAGCAGTTCTTGATGAATAGAGGGTATGGGATCCCAAATGCTTTTCTAGAAGGCTTTAAGAGACTCAAAATTGGGAGCCTCTCAGTCTAAGTCCTTAGAACTTATTTCCTCCATTGAAGGTCCCCAAAACTCCTTAGATCTGCACCCTGAAGTCTTCATTGAATGGGATCCAGGACCAAAGTGAACTTGCATCCCAAGGACCTTTTGTTCTAAGTGATGCCCCCGCCCCCGCCGTCCAGATCTCCACACTGCCCCCTAAGCCCTTCCGAGCTCTCTAGGCTGTTGAACTCGTGTCCCCAGGCTCCCCTTCCCCCTTCCCTCCTGATTTCCTGTCCAGACCTCTCCATCCTGGATGGAAGCCAACTCACCCCCTTCTGTGAATTTGTCCTCTCTCTCCAGGAGGTGCAGAAGGGGCTGCAAGACCGCGGCCAGAAACAAACCCGGCAGCAATTTTTCCTGAACGTGGTCCAGGCTGTGTCCCAGGAGGGACCTTGTGTGTACGCCGCATCTGACCTGAGGAAGAATGGGGTGGCTGCAGGCTACTGAGGTGACAGCTCGGCCCAGAACCAGTACCCAGACCTGCTCTACGTCCTGAGTCCTAGCTGGGTGATGGCACAGACTGCTCTAGCAGGATCTGGACTCCTGGCCGGGACGGAAGGAAGCCAAGTCCAGAGGGACAGGAGGATGACTGGAACAGCCTGGGCCGCAGCCCTGGCCCCTCCGCCACAGCGTCTTGTGGCCCTGCTCTGACTCCCTCCCCTGGCGTCCTGCCCACCTTCCCAATCTGTATCCATTAGACTAAGATTTTTTTTCTTTTTTTTTTTTTTTT